AAGTTTAAAACCTTGATGTAATGTACATTTGTGTATTCAAAAAAGAAAAAAAATGGTATTGGGTCATTTTTTATTCATTTGTGTTCTAGTTTCAGTTTAGCTCAATTTCTAGGTTGCTGTTAGTACTTTGTTTCTTAATTTCTTTGTGTCGTCTTCTCCTGTGTTAAAGTTGTTGTTTATTGAGTGTTATTGGTCATGTTTTTTGACTGCCTGGTTAATGTTGTCAAGTTCGTGTCACGCCTGCGTCTTGTCATGTTTTCCTGTTTATTTTGAAAATCCAGTTTTCATGTCTTTATGTTTTGGATTACAGTTCCTGTACAGCATTACCGGTATGTTCATCCTAGTCAGCTGAATCCTCTTGTGTTTCTCTACCTCCCCTGATCACCTCATTTTTATTTAAGTCCTTTGTCTCTTACTGTTCTTTGTCAGATCGTCTGTTATCCTCACCACAGATTTCATAGTTTTCCCTCATTGTTTCACTGTGCACTTTCATAGTTCTTTCACAGAGTGCTATAGTCTTTTAGTTTACACAGTGTTCTTAGTCCCCTTTGTTTTCCCAGTTCCAGTGTGTCTCTGGAGTTTTTCTCATGCCATCAGCCACAGTAAAGGCTCGCTTTATTTTTTGGAAAGTTAGTTCTGTCTCCACCATGTCTGCTTTTGGGTCGATCTCATCTACACACCGTGACAAGATTTCAAGATGAGTAACATAAATGGTTTAATCAGCCTGTTCATGAGCTGCTGTATTATTATCTATTCTGGTTTATAATGGTTCACATTTATTTCATATTTCCTACTATCTTGTCTTGATCCATCTTTTCTTTCCTGACATAAAGTTTGCATCAAAGAAGTTCTGTTTAAATCTTTGTTTCATGAGCAATAAAACATCCCTTTCATCTGTCAGATCAAAGATGCAGTGGAGTCTGTATCTGCTTATTCTGATGGGTAAGTGGATTGTTTCACCAAATATACAGTTTTTAATTTAAAATGAACACAGATTAATGTTGCAATATTTTACCAGAATATTCACTGAATATAGATCATTGTTTATCTGACCAAGATTTTTCTATCATCTAATTTTTGTATTATTTTAGGTCAGTGTTGCTTCTTTACATGCCGCCTGTATGAGTAC